AAAATTTTTCAAACTAGATTAGTCCTTTCACAACTTGAATTAAGTTTAAGATTGCAATATTCTTAGATAAAACCTTTCAAAATTCAATTATAACAATATTTTATCCCTGCAACTAATTTAGTATTAAAATCATTGTTTTCGTCTCTTAAACTAAAATTACATCATTTTATTATGTTGATGATCTCCAAAAAGTAATTTCAATTTAACAAGCATTATAATTTCTGTCTTACAAATAGTATGAATGTTAACTAATTTATTTTAATTATTTTTACCTAGAATTGTCTGATTTATAACCTGATTTGTTGTTCAAATTAGATAGATAATTGATAAATAGATTTCAAAAAATTTTAAGTATTATGCTGTTAATATAATTAAGTATTATTATTTACTAAAAATATCATTTCCACTTTCATCATTCCTTTTCTTTTCCTACAATCAAGAATTTAGATTCTGAGGAGGAATTAATAAACAACTGTATTGGATACTTGAGTTCTTATTTTTGCTTAATTTAAATTGTACATATTTATGTTATTTCATTCATGGAAAATCTAATTTTAGCTAGTAGAAATTAATTCTAATCAATTTTTCATAATGAAATTTGGTAGTTATATTTATCTTAAAACACATGTGCCCTTATAAATTGTATGATGTCAATTATCATTAAATCCAAATTATAATCTTACATAGAATTAACTTCCTAAGATTCGTTCCTAAAAGTATTAATAAAATATTAATTAATATCTGATATCATCAATATAAATAGTTTTAGCAAATATTACATATTAAGAACTAAAATTCACACATATAACTAAAAAAAATATTTAATGTATTTGAATGGATAAAAATAAATAAAAAACATGGATATGATATTATTTCAATATTGAATTTTCACTGATTCAGCTTCTTTTAGCAGAATTCTAATTTAATAAGTTATTATTACCCTTTTAGTAATTTGAATATTGATCATTTTGGTCTATTTTTAAAGATTTCTAATAATAAATCAAAGCTTCTTTGTAATTTTATTAATCCCTTAAACAATCTCCTGCAAATACAAGATCATAAGATACCCTTTGTTTAAAGAGAAAATGTATGTTGAGGATTTATGGAGAGTGCTTAATTTAGAAATTATAAAGATTCATTATATTTTTTCAATAATCTTAAACATTCACCTATTATATATTATGGATCAATCTACCTTTCTCGCTTAGGGATTGAACATGCTTAGGATCAATAAGTAATGCTTTGTCCAACCAAGCGATTGCATCCTCAATTTTCTGTAAATTTCTTAAACATACTCCTATTAATTAAATTTTGATTCAATCTACCTTTCTAATATAAGGAATTAACATGCTTAGGATCAATAACTAATGCTTTGTCCACCCAAGTGATTGCATCCTCATATTTATTTAATAATCTTAAACATTAACCTATTAATAAACTATGATTCAATCTACCTTTCTCATGTAAGGAATTAACATTCTTAGGATCAATAACTAACGCTTTGTCCACCCAAGTGATTGCATCCTCATATTTATTTAATAATCTTAAACATTAACCTATTAATAAACTATCATTCAATCTACCTTTCTCATTTAAGGAAATAACATGCTTAGGATCAATAACTAATGCTTTGTCCACCAAAGTGATTGCATCCTCATATTTATTTAATAATCTTAAACATTATCCTATTAATAACATTATGATTCAATCTACCTTTCTCATGTAAGGAATTAACATGAGTAGGATCAATAACTAATGCTTTGTCCACCCAAGTGATTGCATCCTCATATTTCTGTAAAAATCTTAAACACGAACCTATTATTTAACAAGTACTTTTACCTTTACACCATAAAGATAAATGGTCATATGGATTTTATTGTATTGATGCATCAAATATATCTATTGCCTCAGCATATTTATCCTTCTAATATAATTCACAACCTAAATTTTAATAATATGATAACCTTTATCATATAAGTCTTTGGATAATTTTATAGAATTTTCATCAATTTAATAATGATTAATTGATGATAATTTTAATTATTTATATAAGTTATCAAGTGTGTGAATTAATTTGTTAGTCTGATCTGAAATGATTTTTGTAATTGATTGTTTGTATTCCATAAATTTGACACTTGAATTCAAATAATCATTTATTTAGACTGAGTTCAATTATAGAAATCTTTATTGTAATAATGTATATTTTTATCTGATTCCCTTTTTTAATAATGTAAATGATTGATTCAGATTGTCTAGATATGTATGAAGATCATCAATCAATTTATCACATTCTTAATTTTTGCTTTCAATGAATCCAATCAAGCTATTGATTTTTTCAACATCATCAAAATGATCATTATGGATTCTTCCCTTTTTCATACATATAAAGCAATTTAATCGGATTTCTGTACAAAGCTAGTTGTAACAAACAGTGTCTATCTCATCCTAATGGTCAGATTGTTAACATTTTAACTTTAAATTCATTTACTAAATCATTTTTTAATAATTTATATCTAATATATATTCATTCACTCTCTTATTTCAATTATTTTATTTCTATTAAACTTAATTTTTTAAACAAATCATTATTAATAGGATATATTCAGATTTAATAATAATAATAATAATTTAATGAAAAATTATATGTCATTGCTTGGAATGTTTCTATCTTTTAAAGGATTCACATTCTGTATAACAGGCTTTTCCAAACTTAGACAATTTTATCATTTTACTAATCGATTCCTTGACAGAGCAAAAATTACTTATAATTATCTAAGCAAGGATTTCAGAAAGATATCATGTAAAGGCTTAATTAGAAATAACTATTGGTAAATATAAGATTCAAAATTTGAAGTTTTTCCTGGCTATTCAATAAATGTTTAGAGTATTCTCTATTTGATAAAGTCGAAAATTACTTTACTTAATTAAATAATCTGTTAAAGGCGGTAGCAACTTAAATAGTGTTTAATTTTTACTTAAATTATAGGACAAATAAAGAGTTGTTTATAATCAACAATTAATCACGGAACAACGAAATTAAATTTATTTTCCTGGCTAGCCTGATATTAATTTTGGTTAATGATAGTGGGAAACTCGATATTCATGTGGAAAATTCTTTACATGTTTTAAAGCTATATTCTCTTGCATTTGTACAATTTGAAACGCTTAGGCATCTTATTTTGAAATTTCATTATATCCAATTTAACTTAATCAGATTTACGAATCAGAAATGGTTACACTTTGATTTTTTTGACCTTTGACGACTATTCAAATTATGGCTTAATGATTATACATTAGCAACCTTACTTTAATTAAGAACAGGCTAAATTAAGTCATTTTCAAGCTCTCTCAAAAAACATAGAATTCAAAATTTGAATGAAAGAATTCTATTTGTAAATTTACTTTTGGAATTTTGAAGTATTTTGAAATTTTACAAAAATGTCGACAACTTAACCTTAGCCTTGATATTTACTGTATTAATTACTTTATATCAAATAGAGCTTGAAATATTAAATAATTGTAAGTTGATCATTAATAAAATAGTCCTCATAATATTACAAATGGAGATATTTATTCAATTCTGGTTATTGTTTATTAGAGATGGATGAACTTCTTGTGAGATTATCGAAACATCAGAATATTCAAAAAGATCTACCAACCAATATCAGCAAAACTCTATAGGAGTTGCACATGGGGACAAAATTATCATGTGAGCTTTTATATGGATGCTATAAAAATAACTAAACAATATTTTATATAGGTGCAGTAGGCTTTCTGCTTAAAGGAAAATTATATTTTATCACAAATAGTTGAAATTGATTTAGATTATCTAAGCAAGCATGAAGAGTTGGCACCATTACAAAAAAATAAATAGCTTTTGTAAAAAATCTGTTCATGCTAATTTATTAGAGCATGCATAAAATTTAGGGACATCAATTCTCATATGATTTACAAATCTCAAAAATTCCTCTTAATATGCAAATATTCCAAATGATGAACAAGTACGATATGAATTTTTGCTTAAGAAAGCTCTTTGTTTGATATAAGTATAAAGCCTTAAAGTGAAAGAATTGCAAGTAAAATTATAATTGCTATGCACTTGAGGATAACCTTCATATAGCTGTTAAAAGGAGAATTAACCAAAGGTGTTACAATTCAGGATAGAAGAAAAAAAAGTGACAAAGTGTATTTAGTTATGAATATAAATATCTACAAGCTCATCCATATCAGTATCAGGGGGCAAATACAGGGACAACTTAATAACTACTTGCCGTAATTGCGATTATTTTTCAGTATGGTTGTATTATTAATGTATGCAATCTTTTTATCATATCAATATCTTTTAATGCTATTTTACATTTAACTGATTGTAAAGTAAAGTGGTAACACATTGAGCAAACTCTATATGTTCGTCTGACATCTCTAAAGTGCATATGATTTCTAATTTATTGCTTTAGTAGTTTAAGCATATTATGATATGCGGGATAGATTGCTAAAATGGATCAACTTTTTAAATGTTTTTCAAAGCAGATTTTAAAATCCTCAGAAAAGTTCAGAATATGCAATCGGATTTCAACCAGACTCGTAATAAAACAACTAGAATCTGACTCCATGAAGCATTCTCCTGCAATATTGTGATTTATAATAACAAAGAATTCTCCTAGAAGATACAGGCTTCATCAACTGAATATCGATAACAGAAAAGCCTTTCGTGTTCTAATTGATGAAGATATATGAGTTTCGCCTTACTTGATTAAGACACCCAACTGGAATTGTTATATAAATTATTCTTATTATTCATTTAAGATTGTATGGAGGATAACACATAATTTACAAATTTTCAACTTTCATTTCTTCTTGATTCTAGTATCTCAAATTAATCATAAGCACAATTCTAATTTTTTCTTATACTCTAAATTTTAATTACTGTTATTAATCATTTACATATATCAGATGATGTTTTATAAAGGTATTCGACATATATACCTTTATCTAAAATACATTTTTTAGGTTATCCGCGATAAATGATTAGCTATAAGTTAATCTTTTCTATTAACTTATCAATATGATCTTTTAAATTGCCTAATCTATTGACTGTATTCCCAAGGTACATATATGCACTAACAATTGAAAGTCCTAGTGTATTTTATGATTTAATTTGATTTGTTAATATAAAAACGGCTGATTTTCTTATATATTTTCGAATTATATTTAGGGGAATCTTAAACACCTTTTTAATAATTCCACTATTTATGTTTATCTGTGTTCTAGACTAAAAACTAAATCATCTGCATATTAATAATCTTCCATCTGGAATTTAAATTCTTAGTTTAACCTCATTTATAAATTCTTTTAAGTAAAAATTAAATAATCCTGGTGATAGTGTCAATCTTAACATAATCCATTCTACTAACAATATTTTTCATTATTAATAGGATACTGATAATATAAGAATTCTCTAATAATAACGTTATAAGCAGTTCCTAATGAGAGGAAACAAAATACTTGTATTATCAATCTCACCAAGAAAGAACAAGTTGGACTTTGTTAGAGAAGCCTATGAAAAGGGAATAGATGGCAACTGGTTGTTTTGGAAACCTGGAGAGTCAAGCAGTGTTAAAATTGGGTAGGAAAATTTCACATCTTGAAGAATGAATGGATATTTAAAGATTGTTATTAAGGAAACAATAGAGAAGACTAATAAACTCCTTATTAAAACTGAGAGTTTCAAAAATTTAAATTTAATACTCCATAGTATTAATACATAGCAATTGCAATTTTCAATAAGCTCATCAAATGATTCATAAAAAGTATAGAGTTTGATACTTAGAAACTACCTTCCGTGAATGAATACATTGTTGACAAGAACTACTTATTCTAAACTAATATCCAGTTTTATGCTATCAACATAGTATTTATGAGCACTAGTTATTGCTAAAAAATTAGTAAGTTGTATGATTCAAAATCATCGTTATCAATATGGTAACTAGAAATAAAAAATCAAGCACCAAAAGTGCATAACTTGCTCTAGATATTATTAACTGAATGTGCCATCCTATTGATTAATAAAACTTATAGACACATGGAATAATAAAGTTAGAGCGAAAGTAAACATTTACTGGTCTGTTATATTTTGAGGAATGCAAGGTAAGCAGATGGTACATGTGGCAGAAGGATTATAACAGTTGGTTAAATAGGTAAACTTTACATAGAAAGCAACATAATTTTGACATAAATAGCTGTAAAACAATACTTTACCAAAATGGGCGTGACAACAACCATTTGTAATAGTGTGAAAAGAGTTGCTGTATTTAATGATATATCAGAATAATGCTCAATGATGTATCAGAAAATCAAGTCTCCATATTTATAATTTAAAAGTAGAGAAGAGGCGTGCATTATGATTTATTTCAAAGAAACATTAATAAAGCAAGAGTCAAATTTGACCCCATAAGTATTGTCAAAAACAGAATAAGTATAATGAACAATGTATTTAGACATTCAGGGATACTGGTGGAATAAAAATATTAATCAATTTACTTTTGTCACTAGCATTCCCAAATCTTTTGCAAGTTTGTAAGCAATCCTACATAAAACATTATATAAGAAAACTTCAAGTAAAATTGCCAGATAATAGAAAAGCCAACAGATGGTGATAAATATTTGAGACAAATTTTTCAAAACAAGAAACAGGCATCGCCTTATGTTCAATACTGTATGATTCAGTAGCGATTACAGCTCCAGCAGAATCTCTAAAAACAAAGCGATGAATGAAATTGAAGATTGAAGGCTTTAGAAAATGCTAGAGTGGATAAAACAAATATACAATGCATGAATCAAATTTTTCTCCATCTTTATGGCGTTAGGATTGCAAAGATACTAATAAAATCCATTTCATTAGTCTCTAGCATTCACGTGTTCAAAGTCTTAACAATTTACACTTTAATTAGTTAAACGCCAATTTTCATACAATTAAAAAAGTCTCTGTTTATTCACAAATATTTTTAATATTGCTAGGACTGCTATAAAAATACAAAACGAAATTAAAGTGGTAAAGGAAGCTTTATGCCTCTTGTGAGAGTAAGTGCATAGATTTGATTCGCAGTGGTAATACTTACAACGGTTTGTACTTTTTTAATAAAAAATTTTAATTTGTTAATAACAACTATGCCTAAAATATAAAAGTGTGCAATAGCATTATAATAATAATTAATAAATGTAATAGGTAGATAAATGGTGTGCAATCTCACATGATAATTACTGTATAAATTCATACTTATCCTTTAAAGGATTATTAATAAATTAATATATAACTGATAAAAAGTGTTAAGTTTATAGCCTGATAACAAATTATATCATAGAAACATATCAAGATATTTATACATAGTAATTTTGGATGAGACAGATAGCACTAAAATATTTACTGTAAGTGTCCTTTTTCTAGTTCAAGAGTTTCTTATGATATTCTTAAATATAAAATTAGGATCCCCATATTGTTGTAACCGAGAAATAGTACTAAAAGCAAATATAAATACTGAAAAGATGGTAGGACATCTCAAGTAGATTTTAATCGATAACCTACAAAAATTATATGATGAGACCTACTCTTATTACAATTATCTATCATATAAATACAATAAATCATTTAACTTTTTTTTGAGGTTTTAATTTAAAGTTATTGCTTTTTTCATTAATTTAATGTCTAAATAACTCCCTCATTTTACAGATGATATAAACCAAGAATATTCTTTTGTTTATGGCTCTTCAAAATACTTACATAGAACTTTTTATGAAAATACAAGCTTTTTCTAATCTTGTCAACTCTGCTAACAAATTTCAAATTCCTTTTTTACACATTTTAGTTTGATATAGATATATCTCTATCTTTACTTTCATAAAGTTTTAAAGATTTGCATTTACTCAAATAATTCTCTAAAACGCTTAGTAATGAGGCTTTGCTCAAATAAAGTAAATTCTTCATCTCAGTAAATTCCTTTCTCCTTGTTTTTATTTGTCTTAGTAAGTCTTTTAATTTAACATCTTATACATTAATCAAAAAAGTCAAAAAGATCAGCTATTCTCCTAACTAAATTGCAAAGTCAGAAGGAAGGATTTGAATAGATATTATTTTATGCCAAGATGGAAAGAATTGTTCATCAAGTATTTGACATCTAGATTTTTAAATTTATCAATATTTCTCCGCTAGATGCAAATTTATTTCTTAAGACATTTGATAAATGGCTATGATTTTGTCTTACAGCACTTAATTTTTTGTCAAAGGTAACAACATCAATATCATACACATCATAAGCAATATTTAATTTCTTTCTAATAATGCTAGAATAATTATTTGTTAAAAGTAATAAAAGGAAAAAAATGTAAAATCTAAAAACAAATGTTGTGTTACAAAATCAACTGCTTAATTAAAGAAATATTTCAACTTAATAATACTAACCTTATTAATTAGATTTATTACTCTTAACTTTTGGTAGTATGATCTATTTGAGGTGTGTAATGTAAACTATATTAATATCATAAGTTTTAAATCAAATAATGCATAACAGTATCTGAGTTTAATGTATAACTGTTGGGGTGTAATTTTGCGCCTTTAGAATTGATATATTAAATGATACAAATGAGGCTTTAGGTTAGACTATGCTGAGAGTGATAACAAAAAGAAATAACAAACGATTTCTTTATTTCAATAAATAATGACAAGAAAGATTTGCATAGAAAAAAAATTTATAATGAGAAAACAGATGGGTATATTAAAATGATTGTTCAAAATATAACCTAATAGATTATGTAACTTTACTAAATTATTTTATTGTTCTTTTTGAAATCAACTTTAGAAATTTAAATTGGATAAATAGCTATGAATAGAAAATATTTAATGAGCCAATATGAAAATATGATAATATGCTTCATAATTTTGACAATTAACTTTGAATATAAGCATTCTGACCCAATCCCAGTCCTTATGCAGCCAAATAAAAGTATTTCGCTTCTTATTTTCTGCGTAATTCAAATAGTGAATCCACTTAATTCAACTACATAAAATTTACCTTTAAATTTAAATCTAAGAGCATTATTTTTAATTTAAAGAGCTTGTTCGAAATTTGAAAGTGCATCCATAAATTTTTATAATGTGTGTTGTAGGGTTAAACCTAAAAATAAATATTTACCTTAATTTTCAAATGTTAAATCCTTTTAGGGTTAATAGTAATTGCAAAATTATAACATTCAATTCTTCTTGGTATTTTTTCAAATTTTTTAACACATTTCCTGAATTATTAATATTTAATAGTTATTTACCCTTGTTATAGTATGCAGGAGAATAATTAGGGTAAAGAGAAATTGCTGCATTGTAACATATAATTGCTTCTTGATATTGATTTAATTTATATAATGCCAATCCTAAATAATAATATTAAACAATTAATTACCTTTGTTATTCCAAGCAGTATCATATTAAGGATTAATAGTAATTGCTTCATTGTAACATTATATTGCTTCCTCATATTATTTCAATTTATATAATACTAACCCTAAATATTACCATTTAAGATTTTATTACCCTTACCAAACCATGTAGAATCATTTTTTTAATTAATAGAAATAGCTTTGTAATAGCATTGAATTGCTTTTTGAAATTGATTAAAATTTCTTATTGCATTGCCTAAGTATTTATATTTAACAAGTTATTACCTTTGCCATTAAAAGCTGAGTCATATTTTGGATTAATCAATATAGATAAGTCGTAACATTAAATTGTTTTTTGATATTAATTCATATGGCTTAATGCACTCCCTAATCATTAATTTTTAACCATTATTTATCCTTGTTAAACAATACCTCATACGAATTAGGATTTATAAAATTAGCTTCATCGTAGCACTAAATTGCTTCTTAATGTTGGTTCAAATTTCTTAATGCATTTCCTAAA